CAGTGTTGGCCAATATGTGCATTGTGTCTCCATGGTAACTGTTGAACACCCTCATCGTGATGTCACTGCAAAATATCAATAGGCATGGCTAGCAAGATGATGCTGTATATATTATTATTAGATGTTTTAACACAACCAGAGAGCCTATCAGATCCATACAGTGTCTCTGAATATTAACCACACATATGGATATAGGTTAATAATAACTATATTAATAATACCATGAATTTATATGTTGATTATTCAGGTACTCGAAACAGGTATTCAAAGCTGTTTTTTCTATAGCCACAGCTGCCCTGGGACTGACAGACGGAAACATGGCTGCCAGTCTGCCCCTACAACCCGCAGACCCTCTGAACACCACCAGTCATTCACACACTTCATTCATAAAAAATAAAAGGTCTTGCTCTACGACACAACACCAATATCCTGGTCAGAGCAGGCTTCAAACCGTGAACCTTGTGGATAGTGGTCCGCGCCAATATTATTATGTTTGCCTAAAAGCATAGCGACTTGAATTGGACAAAAAGACACAACACATCATGCACCAAGTAGCCATCTGGGGAAAGGATGGTGATTCGGTTGGCATTTCGAAATGTCGCAACATGTCAGGAAACATGTTCATTGATCTAAAAGCTTAATTTAATCCAGCATCCAATAGTTATACAATGTACCATATCTATAAACTAAGCTATATTAACAGGAACATTTACTGTATTTTAATTGGTGCTGGTGGCCAGGCGTTAAATAGCCAGTTTTTACCATGTGTTTTCTTTTGGCAGTGCGTCGGCAAGTCTGTGTTCTGCCATCGCGGCCTGGATAGGTGCTATGAATAAACCATGAGTCCATTAAAAAATTAATTGCCTCTTTCTTAGCCATAATTACGGTGCAATTCGTCCCAGTGGGAATTAGAAAGTGCCAATACAAGACCTTCTCTGTGAAACGTGTGAAAAGATTTTTATCAATTTAGATCTGGTTTGGACTGGTGAAACTCAGCAATGTGTTGGTGACGTTTGGGAAATCTAGACGCTACAATGTTTGTGCTTGTTTAAATTACGTCGTTGTTAGCATTTCTCACGTAGGGAACCATTTTCTATTTGTTTGACCGATGAAATATTCAGGAGGTGCACCATGATGTTGTTAGCAAAATGGTGCAGACATCCTCCGTGTGTGGTTTATGTGACACCAGGACCCCGGGGTGACAGGTGAAGAGGGGTGGAGGGGTGAAATTAGGCTGAACAAACAACTGAAGATAGAAAAAAGACAAAGGCAATTAAGAGGTATTGTACCTTTTTTTGTAAGGGCACATTCCACTGTTTAGCAATTTAAGATCGACCAATATGGATCTTTACAATACCAATACTGATACAGATTTAGAATATAAAGCAACCAAAATATGTGAGTTACATTTATGTGAGTTAAATTTACTACAAGCTCGCTCCAATTCTTTTATTTACCACAAACCTTAAAGAACTGTGAAGTCACATTTTGTGCAGCAGCTCTTCGTATTAAACTGTGAATATGAAGCTTTGTGTGTATTTAGGCAGCAGATTGACAAAACAAAATATTGGCCTATGCTGGAGATTAGAGTTGGGCGGTAATACGGTATTACGGTATCCCGCGGTATCAAAATGTAGCAACAGTATCAGTTTCATTACCGTCATAAAAAAAAAATCTGCAGCGCATAAGGACCTGATATAATATATTAATTTATTGATATCTAAATTTGTTTGCTCAGCACAAATTAATGTGTGGTTGTATTTTCAGTTTAATGCTATCACAGTTTAAAACTAATAGTATCTGTAATGTTTCCTTTCACTGCATGGGAAGATGACGTTCAGTTAGTTTTGTTCTGTTGTCACGTGACAGCTCATAAGGGAGACCAAGACCACATGGCAAGTCTGGCCACAAACACGTTGATCTCCCAAAAAATACTTCTGAAATTTGGCAGCATTTTGGCTTCAGGCGCACATTTCTTTACGTTTTATAGAAACGAAACTTAAAACCACATGGCTAATTTCCATGAACAGTAAGCGGCAATAAAAACAGCTTACTTGATGATGTGGTGCAGCTTCTGTCTGACTAAAGGACACGACTCAGTGGAATATGAGTGTTCTCTCTGTGACAGAGGATGTGCGGCTGACAGTGAGTCTGTTCTGTGCATGTATCGCATTGGAGATGGTTCATGTGAAACTTTTCAGAGAGTCTGCAGGTAGTTTCGTAGCTTACCAAAGTTGTATTAAAACATGTTGGTAATACGGTATACTGCGGTAAAATCCTGAGAGGGTTTAACGGTATCAAAATTTAGATACCGCCCAACCCTACTGGAGATTTAAAAGGCCGATATGCTAAAAAGCCCAAATATCAGTCAGATATATCGACCAGTATATATTGGTCTAGCTCTAATAGTAATAAACTTAAAGCTCCATGGAGGCAAGCAGGTTAGCTGTTAACTTGAATGACATCACAAGGTGGAACAGAGCATTTTGAGCTTTGGAGATGTAAACAAGCTAAAAATAAAGGATCACTCAAACATGTGTGACTGAAATGAAACACAAATCCAGGTATGTTTTTGTGGCGGTAACAACGTTCTAACATGGCTTAAAGCTCACATGATGAATTTTGCATAACATAGGACCTTTAAAAGTAAAATATATTTAAACAGAATGAATACAATAATACTACTGACTCTCCTGAAAAAGCCTTGACAAACATTGCATCACCTAAGTCCCTTTGCCAATACCCCCGTCATAACATTATTGATCGGCACAGCGCCCGTAATCTGACAAATCATTTCCAATCATCACTCTTTACCTGTAACATTCACACCACACTGTCAGGATTGTGTTATTTCTCTGACAGCTCCAGACCTTTGCCAGG